TTATTTGGTACCTGGTATTAAACCCAGGGGCACTTAACCACTGAGCCACATCCCCAGTCCACCTTTATATTTTATTTAGAGACAGGGTCTCGCTGAGTTGCTCAGGGAGTTGCTAAGTTGCTGAGGCTGTCTTTGAACTCATGATTCTCTTGCCTCAGCCTCCCATACAGTTGGTATTATAGGCTTGCGCCACTGCACCTGGCTAAAGTCATTATTGGTAAAGAGGTTCTTGCTGAAGCACTTAGTGGTGAAAGTCACAAGGTCTAAAATTTATTTAAAACAATTTTTTTTAGTTGTAGTTGGACACAATACTTTTTTTATTTTATCTATTTATTTTTATGTGGTTCTGAGGATTGAACCCAGCGCTTCACACGTGCTAGGAGAGCACTCCACTGCTGAGCCACAACCCCAGCCCAAATTTTAAATTTTTTTTTATTTTAAAAATAAATTTTAGGGTCTGGGATTGTGGCTCAGCAGTAGAGCGCTTACCTCGAACATATGAGGCACTGGGTTTGATCCTTAGCACTATATAAAAATAAAGATTAAAAAAAATAAAATTTTGTGTTGTAGGTATATAAACAGTAAAATGTTAATGGTCAGTGAATCTAGGTGAAGAGTATACACCTGATCATTGTTGTCTGTTTAGTGGCGCTGGGGCTTGAACCCAGGACCTCATATATGCTAGGCAGGCGCTGTACTGCTGAGCCACACCCCCAGCCCTCTGGTCATTATTCTATCCTTGCAATTTTTCAATAGGTCTGAAAACTTTCAAAATAAGATTAGAGAACAAAAAAAGAAATAGAGAACACTTGGGCAGCTTTGGAGCCAGGTGAGATCGGAGGTTTCCGTCATTATGGTGCATGGAGCAAGCCCTGTGTGGGGCTGCGCTCAGGAATGACAGATGGGGAGACCGCTGGGGAAAGACAGCCACCACGCAGGTGATCAGGCAGGGGCAGAGGGAGGGGCTGGAGCTGGGGAAACCCACGGGGGAAATACTTCTTTCTCGCATCACTGAGCAAGTCTCAAAGGAGTAAAAATGTGTTTTCTGGAAGGTTTATCACCATGAAAGAAGTATTTATACTTCACAGTGTGGTATTTGTCTCCACGGAGGATGCCCCACCCAAGTGCTAAAAGATCTGGCTTAACCCTCCATTGGTAAATATCCAGAGAAAGTCCTGTCATGATCTGGGCTTCTTGTAACCCATGAACCCATCATCCAGGTGAAAAGGAGAAAGAAAGCAGAATGAGTTCGCTGAACTGTGGTCTGAGGGGCCCAGGATTGATTATTCTAGATTGGCCACAGCTTGATTTAGAAGACTTGGAGAAGGCCCTTTCCTTCGCTCTTCCATAAGACAAGAAAGAATTGTAATTGTTGCATCTAACAGCAACCCACCCAAAAAAGTAACAAAACAAACAAAAACAAACCCAGGAGTGGCAGTGCTGCAGATGAACTCCTTAGATCTCTTTATGCCACTGTATGGCACTGACAGTAAATGACAGTGTTTGTCATTGTTAGTATATATGCTCTTATTATGAAGTAGGGATTCATAGAAATCCACTGACACCCCCCAATCCCACATGGTGTAGCGGTCAAGAACTGGTTCCTGGGATCGCACCTGTGTCCAGCACTGGAGTGGATATGTTATCTCTCATCTAGATTCCCTTGGCCAGCTGACGTCAGCTAATGATGTCTCATCGTTTCCCTTTCTCTGGAGAACGATTTTTTTTAAAAGAATTCTCTTTAACTGTAGCTGGACATAGTAACTTTATTAATTTTTGTGTAGTGCTGAAGATTGAACCCAGTGCCTCACACGTGCTAGGCAAGCTCTGCCACAGAGCCACAACCCCAACCCTGGAGAATGATTCCTGCCCAGTGAAAGCCCCTGACCAAGCAGGCTACACACCTCTTATGCTCTCAGCTCAGGGGAAGGCCTCAGTCAAGGACTGGTTGGAATGGGAAAGCAAATGGTAGCCTGCTTCATGGGGGTCCACTTTGTGGTGCAATGTGTGGAGTCTGACCCCGGTGAGTCTCTGGGCAAGATGCAGCCTTTCTCTGTCTTTCTCCCCTCCTCTCCCCTCCTGCTTTCCTCACTCTTCTCCTCACACCTATCCCTCAATAAAACACTTGAGACAGAATCCCTGACTTGGGCTCTGCTTCTAGGATACCCAACCCAAGAAAAATATTTCCTAACAGTGGAGATTGGACACCCTAGCTGCTGTAACATAGTAGATGTTTGATTTTAACTTGCATGGCGTCCACTTGGCAGAGTACTGGGGGAAGGTGTTCTCTGCTTTCCTCAGACTTACACCGACTGAGGCAGGGGGAGGTGCTGTTGCCTCCGTGTGTGCATCCAGGATGGTCCTGATGTCAACGTCTAGCTGATAAATGGTGGAAAGAGAAGGTATTCCCGCTTCTCAATCATTCGGATTCAGCCATAACAGAAGTCATTTCTGCCCATGGTGGACACTAGTCACATGGTCCACCTCAAGGCAAGGGGAGCTGGGACCCTGTCTGGATGGTCACCACTTAGCAATGTCTCAATACCCTAGAAGGGGAGCGAGGATCTCTGCTGGGTAGTTATCTCTGCCACACTACGTGGCTTTGGGTCAATTATTTAGCTTCTGTAGGGATCTGTTTCTGTACCTATAAAATTGAGCCATTAATAGGGTCTCCCTTGAAGTTGTGGTCTATGATCACATAACTGCTTAGGCTGGGCCCTGGAACAAAATAAGGACCCATTCATTGTGTTAACTATCTTACCATTTGTGGAGAACCGACTTGGTTTATATATAGATCTTAATCCTTATCACAACCCATCAGTGCAGATGACCATGGCACCTACTTTATGGAAGAGAACCACAAAGTTTGGACAAGTCAATGACCCAAGGCCACATGATCAAAGGCAACTGAGAAGAGCCCATAGTAAGAAGTTTTAGAGACCAAGGGTGGACAGACGTGGAGTTAAACAGCTCCACCCCAGCTTTTGCCTTTGCCCCTTGAGATAGGCAAGATTCCCAAGAAGGCTGGCTGATATCCCGGCTCAGGCCTGCAGCTGCAGGCCCCGCCAGCCTTTCGGTTCTCATTCCCGTTGCTCTCACCCACCTGCTTTCTGTCTAATCCTTGTGAAGGCCAAGCTTGATCCCATCTTGGGCCCTTTGTACCTGCCCTTCCCCCTGCCTGGAATGCTTCTCCCCATGTCTTTCCATGCCTGGCTCTTGCTTTTCATTCTTTTTCCCAACTCAAACATCAATCACCTCCTCAGGAAGACCCTCCCTGGAGCAGTCAGCTCAGTCACTTTCATGTCCCCTGGTTTTCACTCTTTACCTAGCGCCCAGAACCACCTAGTATTTTCCATGCCCAGGCATTTGTTTAGTGTCTGTCTCTCTTCCTGGGCTACAAGCTCAAAGAGAGCCATGGTCTCATTTCCCTTGACTTTCTGGTATCTCCAGCAATGAAGATGTTGCCTGGCACAAAGTCAAACCTCAGCCCATATTTAGTGATTCATGCAAGACGTTTACTTGAGTACCTCTGACCCCATTTGACACTTTGCCCACCCTTGCCTTCTCTCATCCTCCTGGGACACTGCTTTAGGCCATGCACAATTCCAGAAGACCCGATTCACACGGGAACAATGTGAATCCCTGACAGGGATCCTTGTGACAGCATGCAACTCGACCAAGGGGGTGATAGTGCCGTAGCCATCTTTCCTTTCTCATTCATTGATTCAGTCAGTAAATATTTGTGCAGTGTCCATGGTATGTAGGGGATGCAAACACAGCAGGAGAGGAGATAACATGTCTCTGCCTGTGCAGCAAATGTGAAATTTGCAAACAGAAAAATAGAACGCATAGAGATGGCAAAAACAAATGTGGAGTTGCAAGTTACATATTCATTCCACTTTCTCCTCTGTTCCTGTTCTCGCCCTCTTCTGCCTCTCGGTTCCATTTCACAATATCTGCATAGAGCTTCTGCAGTCCCTGACTGAAGCCCTTACTCTCTCCTGTTTTGCTCCTACCTGGGGTGAAGGTTTGCATGGGCTTGCAAGAATAGATGGTTAAATAGGCAGAAGTTTGGGGATCAGGCTGTCAAACTTTTGGTAACAATATCAGATGTGGCAGGAGCAGCTGCACTGCAAAAATGGTCAACATTTATGGGTGTTGTCTTTCTGGAAAGTTGAATTTCTAGCATACCACCTCTCCCTTCTGTTTGTGGGGAAGAAGCTTTACAATGACAAGGAGTGTCTTAACTCTTCATAGACAGTCAGCCCTCCCATACCATCCCTTCCGTATCATACCATCTTCCATCTTCCATCTTCCACTCCTTCCCAGGTGGCAGGGAAATGAGGACTCCAGGGCCTCTGCTGTTCTGTGAAGGGAGATCAGAAGAGAAAGCCTAAATGTTATGAAAACAGGAATAAAAAGGAAAGCAAGCCAAGTGCGGTGGCGCACGCCTATAATCCCAGCATCTTGAGAGGCTGAGGCAGGAGGATCACAAGTTCAAAGCCAGCCTCAGCAACTTAGTGAGGCCTAAAGCAACTCAAGGAGACCCTCTCTCTAAATAAACTATTAAAATGGGATGGGGATGTGGCTCAGAGGTTAAGAGCCCCTGTGTTCAATCTCCAGTACCAAAATAAATAGATAAATAAATAAGCAAAATGGAAAGGAAAGAAAGAAGTAAGAGGGTAAACTGTGGGGGGCAAAGGCTGGGGCAGGGGACATGAGGACCTGCACACTGCACAATGTCCTCACAGGCAGTTCAGCCATCCTGCCACCTGGGCTTAGAAGGTGGCCAGGCTGGGCTTAGAAGTGGGCCAGGGAGGAGTTGGAGCTGATTTCTTGGGTCTGAGGGAAGAGTAGCCACACAGATATCTGGGCCTTTAGAGGGTGGGGCCCAGGATCCATTTAGCAATGCCCTGCCCTCTCTGGCGTTTCCTGTGATACCTTAGGTAACATGAGATATATAAGGTCTGGACTTCTGGTTAAAGAGCATAAAGGGGATTTGCAACCACAGATTAGTAATGAGCTCCACATCACTGCTGGCCCTGCTGGGGGTCACCTTCTTGCTGCCCTGTGAGTGAAGACCCTATCCTGGAAGTAGATTTCCATGGAGGTCAACTAGGAAACTGTTAAGATGGATTTGCTCCCCCCCTCCCAGGTGTGCACGCTTTGGACTGCCAGTGGGCGGCCATAGAGACTGTGTTGAACACCTCACAGATGCCCGTGGAGTGGACAAATGGCAAGAAAACCTGTGACTTCGGCGATGGTTGCCAAGACACGTTAATGCTCATAGAGAATGGTGAGAAGAGATCCTGAGTCCTCAGACCCATCCCTCCCAGTCAGCCCCGTCCCTTCCTTTCCGGTACCTCACCCACTTCGCCATGAACGACCTCTCTCTAGGATGCTGGAGTTATGAAGGCCACCTTCACCCACCTGCCCCTTTCTTTTCAGGACCCCAAGTGAACTTGGTGCTCACAAAGGGCTGCACTTCAGAAAAGGATCACGAGGTCCAAGTCACTGAGCACAGGACAGGCCCTGGGCTCTCTGTCATCTCCTACACTCATGTGTGCCGTCATAGAGACCTCTGCAATGACCTGTCCACCTCTGTCCCTCTCTGGTCCCTGCATACTGAAAAAGGTGTCGGGCAGTTGGGAGCTCAGGAGGAGGAGAGGGAAGGGGCTGTCTGGAGCAAGGAGCACAGGGCTGAGGGCTGACCTCAGCACCCAGGGTGAAGCTGGTATTTGCAGACTCCCCTTTGCTGGATCCCTCCCTCGGATGCCCCCTGCTCCCTCCCAGGTCCCTGGCACTCCATCTTTTCCCCTGGCTTCCCCTCCCTCCCACTGCTCCACCCACAAGCAGCTCAGGACTCCCTGGCCCACTTCCTCCAACAGTCCTGCAGCACCCAACTGGGCCCATTCTCTGAGGCTAAACCACCAACATCAGGCTGACCTTGATCCTCAGCTGGTCAGGTAGCTCAGTCCTCCCTTCCATGCTGCTAGGTTGACTTCTGAGTAAGAGTGGCTGTAACTTTGCACTGTCCTCACCTGGTGCTGAAAACAGTTTGGAGTGATGTCTGGCTTTTCCAAACTCTGGAATATTTTGTGACCAGGGCATCATGCCTTCTTTGGCTGGATGGTAGAACTTGTGGGTGAAGCTTCTGGTGCCTTCCAGGCACACCCCCCCTTCCTTGAAAAAGTCTGTGTCTGAATCCAGTCCCAGGAGGCCCCTCACCTGCCTCAGTTAGGGCCCAGAGTCCCTCCTGTGCTCAGCCCAGGAGAGCCCCCATGCCCTCTGGTGCTGAGAGGAGCCGAGGAGGGCATGTTGGGGTGACTGGGCAGGCTGATTCTTGGGCCAGCACAGTGGGTGGAGAGAAGACATCTGTCTTCTCAGTGCCCCTCATCTGTCTGTCCTGCCCCAACCCCACCAGTCCTAGGGACCCTGCAGTGCCCAGTCTGCTTTTCCAGATACAACTGTCCAGAGAAGGCTTCACAGCAGTTCTGCCCTGTGGGACAGACTCACTGCTACAATGGAGTCCTCAAGCTCAGAGGAGGTAAGCCTGGACATTGGGGTCCCTGCAGGGACCGACAGGGGAGGACTGGGGTGTGGGATCTGAGTCTCTGGGGAATAAGGGTAAGCTGAGGCAGGGTGGAGCACCCAGGAGAGGGTGGGGCTGAACTTCCCTCTGAGGGTTGGGTGACTCTGTGTCTCCCTCTCTTCTTCTCCCCTCAGGGGGAATTGCCACCAATCTGAAAGTACAGGGGTGCTTGCCCAAACCAGGCTGTGACCTGCTCAATGGGACCCAGAAAATTGGCCCCATTGCTGTGAGTGAGAACTGCAATCCTAAGTCAGGTGAGTCTCCCATGGATACCAAGGCTGTGCCCTGTGCTGTAGCCTTGGGGCAAAGTGATCCCTATACAAAATGGGACAGGCAAAGGCATCACAGAAAAGCCCAGGTAATTTAGGTGTTGATCACTCCCCATGAGCAAGGGTGAGGGGACTGTCCAGGCTGGAGGTCCTTTGATAGAAGGAGGAATGATAGCAAGAAGTGTTCAGCTGAAGGAGAGAGAGAAGGCATCTGCCCTAGAAAACAGGATCCCATTGATGGGAGCTTTGAATGACGCTGGGCCAAGGAGGTCAGGGTGGCCCTTTCGGGTGGGAGGAGATGGGATGGGGAAGGAGGTGCAGGGTGGCTCTGCCTGTGAATGTGTGCAGCAGCCAGTGCAGAACCACCTGCTGGTTGTGGTGCTGGGAGGGACTGGTTGCCCCCAGTTCTGTTTCCTGCCCCCTACCTTGGGCAGTCCTGGCTCTCCCACTCCCCGTGGTCATCTCCATGCACCCTCAGCCAGCCCCAGCCAAGGAACTGCAGCTCTGCAGTCGTCTTGCTGCACAGGAAAGAAAATCAGAGAGAAACCTGAGGCTGCTTTGGGTGTGACAGGGAAGGAAGTGCTAAACGGGGACACTGGGAGAGTCCCCACTTACCCACTTAGATGCAGCCAGACTGGTGACACCTGACAGGTGGAGAGGATGGTGGAGTGGCTCAGGAAGAAGAGTAGCAGGGCGAAAGGAAGCCATGGTGGGGACAGGAGGTGGGACGGGAGTCTGGCTTCCCTGAGCGCATGGTGTTCCCTGTCACCTCCCCAGGTCACGGAACCCTTAGATCTTCAAGGAGAGAGCTGAGTGTGTCCAGAGAACTTTGCTCTGTGTTTCAGTCAGTCTCTCTGAGTAGTCTGGGAGCCTTGTGGACACGGGCTGGCTGTCACTGACACCAAGATTTCCAGCCTCAGTGCAGCACAGAAACAAGGGCTAGCACAGGGCAGGCGTCAACTGGTTGCTGCCTGTGAATGAGGACCCAACTTGCAAATGGTTTTTGCTGGAGACGGGGCAGAGGAACCTGCTAAAATAGATTTGCGTTTTCAATCCCAGGTGCGCAGGCCCTGGAATGCAAGTGGGGGGCAATCGAGGCCGTAAGGAATGTGTCAGAACTGCCCCTCCAGTGGACAACTGGCTGGGAATCCTGCGCCCAAGGCCAGGGTTGCCAGGAAACGGTGATCCTCGTGGTGAATGGTAAGGACGCCCCTCCCACTCAGCCCCGCCCTCAGCGCCCTGGGAGGAAGGCCCCGCTCCCAGTCCCTGGAGGCCTGTCCACTCCTCAGCAGCTGCAACATATTCGGTGCCATGTCCTCTTCCCTGCAGCATGTCATCCCTCTAGGACGCTGAAGTTCTGATCCCCACCCGCACTTGCCCCTCTCTCTCCTTCCAGGACCCCTCGTGAATGTGGTGCTCACAAAGGGCTGTACTGAGGCGGAGGATCAAGAAGGCCGCATCAGTGAGCACAGGAAGGGCCCCGGACTCACCATCATCTCCTACACGCGCGTGTGCCGCCATAAAGACTTCTGCAACGACCTGTCCTCCACCGATGCCTTCTGGACCCCGCCCCCTGCTGCAGGTGTCAGGGGGGGTTGGGAGCTCAGGAGGAGAGGGAAGGGGCTGTCTGGAGCAAGGAGCACAGGGCTGAGGGCTGACCTCAGCACCCAGGGTGAAGCTGGTATTTGCAGACTCCCCTTTGCTGGATCCCTCCCTCGGATGCCCCCTGCTCCCTCCCAGGTCCCTGGCTCTCCATCTTTTCCCCTGGCTTCCCCTCCCTCCCACTGCTCCACCCACAAGCAGCTCAGGACTCCCTGGCCCACTTCCTCCAACAGTCCTGCAGCACCCAACTGGGCCCATTCTCTGAGGCTAAACCACCAACATCAGGCTGACCTTGATCCTCAGCTGGTCAGGTAGCTCAGTCCTCCCTTCCATGCTGCTAGGTTGACTTCTGAGTAAGAGTGGCTGTAACTTTGCACTGTCCTCACCTGGTGCTGAAAACAGTTTGGAGTGATGTCTTGCTTTTCCAAACTCTGGAATATTTTGTGACCAGGGCATCATGCCTTCTTTGGCTGGATGGTAGAACTTGTGGGTGAAGCTTCTGGTGCCTTCTAGGCAACCCCCCCTTCCTTGACCAAGTCTGTATCTGAGTCCAGTCCCAGGAGGCCCCTCATCTGCCTCAGCTGGGGCCCAGAGTCCCTCCTGTGCTCAGCCCAGGTTCCCTGCAGAGCCCCCATGCCCTCTGGTGCTGAGAGGAGCCGAGGAGGGCATGTTGGGGTGACTGGGCAGGCTGATTCTTGGGCCAGCACAGTGGGTGGAGAAAAGACATCTGTCTTCTCAGTGCCCCTCATCTGTCTGTCCTGCCCCAACCCCACCAGTCCTAGGGACCCTGCAGTGCCCAGTCTGCTTTTCCAGATACAACTGTCCAGAGAAGGCTTCACAGCAGTTCTGCCCTGTGGGACAGACTCACTGCTATAATGGAGTCCTCAAGCTCAGGGGAGGTAAGCCTGGACATTGGGTAAGGAATAAGGGTAAGCCTAGGCAGGGCAGGGGACCAAGGAGAGGGTGGGGCTGAACTTCCCTCTGAGGGTTGGATGGTCCTTCTGTCGGTGACTCTGTGTCTCCCTCTCTTCTTCTCCCCTCAGGGGGAATTGCCACCAATCTGAAAGTACAGGGGTGCTTGCCCAAACCAGGCTGTGACCTGCTCAATGGGACCCAGAAAATTGGCCCCATTGCTGTGAGTGAGAACTGCAATCCTAAGTCAGGTGAGTCTCCCATGGATACCAAGGCTGTGCCCTGTGCTGTAGCCTTGGGGCAAAGTGATCCCTATACAAAATGGGACAGGCAAAGGCATCACAGAAAAGCCCAGGTAATTTAGGTGTTGATCACTCCCCATGAGCAAGGGTGAGGGGACTGTCCAGGCTGGAGGTCCTTTGATAGAAGGAGGAATGATAGCAAGAAGTGTTCAGCTGAAGGAGAGAGAGAAGGCATCTGCCCTAGAAAACAGGATCCCATCGATGGGAGCTTTGAATGACGCTGGGCCAAGGAGGTCAGGGTGGCCCTTTCGGGTGGGAGGAGATGGGATGGGGAAGGAGGTGCAGGGTGGCTCTGCCTGTGAATGTGTGCAGCAGCCAGTGCAGAACCACCTGCTGGTTGTGGTGCTGGGAGGGACTGGTTGCCCCCAGTTCTGTTTCCTGCCCCCTACCTTGGGCAGTCCTGGCTCTCCCACTCCCCGTGGTCATCTCCATGCACCCTCAGCCAGCCCCAGCCAAGGAACTGCAGCTCTGCAGTCGTCTTGCTGCACAGGAAAGAAAATCAGAGAGAAACCTGAGGCTGCTTTGGGTGTGACAGGGAAGGAAGTGCTAAACGGGGACACTGGGAGAGTCCCCACTTACCCACTTAGATGCAGCCAGACTGGTGACACCTGACAGGTGGAGAGGATGGTGGAGTGGCTCAGGAAGAAGAGTAGCAGGGCGAAAGGAAGCCATGGTGGGGACAGGAGGTGGGACGGGAGTCTGGCTTCCCTGGGCGCATGGTGTTCCCTGTCACCTCCCCAGGTCACCGAACCCTTAGATCTTCAAGGAGAGAGCTGAGTGTGTCCAGAGAACTTTGCTCTGTGTTTCAATCAGTCTCTCTGACTAGACTGGGAGCCTTGTGGACACGGGCTGGCTGTCACTGACACCAAGTTTCCAGCTTGGCTCAGCATAAGAGCTGGCTCAGGGCAGGAGCTCGGGATCTATATGCTGAAATGAGGTCACAAAGGATTCCATGGTTTCCTGTGGTATCCTTAGATAAGCCAGACTCTGGACCTGCCTAGAAGGCTTCTGGACATGGGTGGCAGTACACCTCACTTGGGTTGATCAGAGCTGGGGCAGAGGAGAATATGAGGAGAGGAAGATAAGAATGACCTCGTGGTGGGGGTATCAAAGAGGGCTTCCCAAAAGAGGTGACTTTCAAGCTGAGCTATGTCTTAATGATGAGCTGCAGTTTCTCAGTAGAAGAGGAAAAGCTATTGACAGGGGCCTGTAAGTGGATCCAGGAGGCAGCTACTTCCTTCAAGAAGGTTTCCTCTCCTGTGTCTGAGAGGGACTCAACAGGAGGATGGGGTGCAAACGAGATGGGTGTAGAGGATGAGAGAGAGCTATCACAAGCAGAAGAGGCCAGCAAGGGTTAAGCCCAGGGGTCAGGTGGGAATGGATACTGGTAGGAAGCTGGGAGGTAGGAGGTAGAGGGTTGATCAAGCACTTGCGAGCCAGGCTTGAGGTGGGGGACTCTCTGGAGAGTGGGGAGCTATGGAAGGCTGTCTAGGAAGAAGGGACAGAGTCTGAGCCAGTTTTCTTTCCTTTTGATTAAGGTTGGTTTTAATGGTCTGGTCCTCGTCTCTGGGACTAAGTCACATTCATAATCTAGAAGGTATTTAGCAACACATAGACCCTCAACACCCAAAGCAGAGAAACACAGAACACACAGCATGCCAAGCATGCAAACCCAACGCCTACCACAGAGTATGTCACGTGCATCAGTACATCCCCCTCTCACGCAAGCACCCCTCACAGCCCACACATGGTACTCACGCGAGTGTATACACAAACCACAAGCCATGTGCCGGGTAAGATGGAGCTGTAATGCTACAAATAAATATTCTTCATATACACCCATATTCTGTCAGCTTTCAACACTGGAGTCAAATCTGAGAGGATGCTTTTCTTCCGTGGTTAAGTTCAATTCCATTTAGCAAATATTTATTGAGCATCTGCCAAATCAGGTGTCAGAAGCTAGATGTACAAGATGTCAGGGAAAAAGTGAAAGGAGAAGGACATTTCAGGGTGACAGAACAGTCCATGCAGAGGCACAGGGGTGAGACAGGGTGGGGGGCCAGAGTACAGATTGCCCAATATGGGCCATGGCAGCAGCATGTTCTGAAGGTAAATCCAGGAGCTTGGACCATGTAAGCCCTTGTCTGCCCTCCTAAGGAACTGGGCAGTGGTCCCAGGGAGAGAAGGTTAAGAGCCTAATGTCTGAATCGGAGAGATGTGGGTTCCAGTCCCCCCTCTTGCCAGTGAACCAGTTTTTGAGTATCAATACCATTTGAGTGTCAAAAGTCCCTGAAATGCTCTCCTCCTTTCCATTTGCTCCCTGACATTTTGTTGTACCCGGGCCTAGAGGACCATGTGAGTGGGGCGGTATGGAGAGTAGAGCAGCCATGTGAATGGAGGGGTAGGGCGAGGCCAGGTCAGGTAGGACCTCAAGGGTCATTTTCAGGACTCAGAATTCTGAGTGGGGAGAGGGACCCACTGGAGTCTTCTGTGCAGAAGAGTGACACGGTTGACTTTCCTTTAATAAGATCCCTCTGGCTGTCAGGTAGAGAACAGGGTGGGGGAGTAGAGGTGGTGCACATGGCGGCCCATGAGGAGGCAGGAGAGTCATGGGGTCATGGGCCTGGCTGGACACAGCAGAGGTGGTCAGGTTCTGGAGACATCTGCAGGATTTCCTTATGGATGCAACATTGGGTGTGAGACAAAGAATGACCAAGAATGACCGCAAGGTTTCAGCTTAAGCAATTAGAGGAAAGCAACTGCCATTGACCGAGATGGGGAACTTTGTTGGGGAGGGGAGGAGAGAGAATGAGGATATGACTTGGAGGAAGAGGGGAGCCGGACTTGCAATTTTGTCACCTGTGAAATGGGGAAACGGACAGCTCTCCATCACGGGACAGTTGTGAAGGTTACACATGTTCGCACATGCTGAGCCCGAGGACCATGAGCTTCTGTGTCCTGAGACACTGCTGATCACGAATGAACTGATGATAGGGCCCAAGCTCATAGTTGTCAAACTAGACTCCTGGGGGCCACTGAAGTCAAGATAGATACCTGTCGTCCCCATCACCCACTCCAACCCTGACCATAAGGAACCAGAAAGCCTGAGTTCCTAGCCCAGCTCTGCCACTTACTGGCTATGTGACATCGGGTGAGATATTCACTAAATCTCCGGCCTCTTTTCCTGTCTTGAAAACAGAAGTGATGATGATGATGATGATGATGATGATGATGATAATGTCACTGACTTTGGGGGTTGCAGTGAAGAAAGGAGACAATCAAGCCAAAGGTGAAGATGAAATGAGTTAATTCATAGAAAGCAATTATAGCGGCCAGGCACTAAGCAAGGGCTCAGTTCACACTGGGCATTTGAATGTTTTTGCTTGGAACATAGGATTTCTCAGTTTAAAAGGGGGTGTAGCTCAGAGATAGAGTACTTGCCTAAGCATGCATAAGGCCCTGGGTTCTAGGCGCAGTACCATTTTTTTTTCTTTTTTGCAATGGCACACACTTATAATCCCAGTGATTTAGGAGGCTGAGGCAGGAAGATTGCAAATTCAAGGTCAACCTTGGCAATTTAGGGAGACTCTGACTCAAAATTTAAAAAATTTAAAGGACTGGGAATGTAACTCAGTGGTAAAGCACCCCTGAGTTTAATCCCCAGGATTGCAAAAAAAAAAAAAAAAGAAAGAAAAAGAAAAAAAAAAGAAATATATGGTCTCAAGCTACTTTCCTCATTGTCCAAATGAGGACTTTGAAGCCTAGTCAGGGAAGTAGAGAGAGGCTGAGGATAAGAACCAGCCATCTATAGCTTTCACATCCAAAGGAGAAGAGACACCTTCCTCCAAGGGTCACAAGAGGAGGGTTCCTACAGGTGTCCCCCAGGTAATGGGGTCAGGAGGCTTAGATTTCCAGGTGCATTCTAAGCCTGAAATTGAGGGATTCCATATCCAGGTCAGCCATAGTGTGATTCCAAATACGATCACCTTTCAGAATATGGGACCTGGAGGAACGGACAGGGTGGGTTCCCTGGCTCATGCAAACCCTGGTGATTTTCTGTCCCCAGATACTCTGACCTGTAACCGGGGGGTCATGTTGCAGATGGGGAGAAAGTTGGCTCAAGACCCCGTTGAATGGACCTCATCCTCGAACCAGATGTGTGATCCTGAGGAGGTGTGTCAGGAGACACTGATGCTCATAGACGTAGGTGCGTGGGCTGAGCAAGACAGGGCCAAGTCCCTGCACTATGGCCAGTGCCTGCCTACCTTGCACTCCGTCCCCTGAATGTCCTGCCCACTTCCACTCACTTCTAGAGATCTCAGTCCAGCACTCTGCTCTTGGTTTCCCCTGATGAAAACTGGGGGCCAAATTATGATAAGTATAGTGCCTATCTTGCTGGGTAGCCATGAGGATACGGTGGCCTCCATGCAGAGGACCGAGCACAGCGCTGGCACAGAGGCACCTCAATGACTTCATTCATTGGAAAAATGTATATTGAGCACCTGTGTTAGGTACTGCAGAGCCATTGATCGCAACTGCCTTGATTGCAGTTTTTACCCTAGTGGGGAAATGAAAAGAAAAACTGACAAAAAAAGCAAATTATGGGTCTGAAGACAAGAGCCCTGGAGAGAAACCCAGCAGGAAGAAAGGAGATACGGAAAGTGAGACGAAGGTTGCAATTACAGGTGCTCAGGGCAGGCTTTATGGAGAAGGTGACTGTAGCAGGTGACATTTGAACAACACCTGGGAGGTGGCAGAACATGAGGGAGAACCCAGTTTCTGGCCCCAGTCTTTGCTGGACACTAGGATGACCTGTACTATGATAACCCAGGATTGTATTCACCCTCTGCCTGGGGAGCACCGTGAAGCCAGGATTGCTGCCCGTCCTCTCCCCAGCCCAGCTCTCACTCTCTTACCTCCTCAGGACACAGATCTCTCCTAATGGGGAGCAAAGGCTGCAGCAAGGCTGGGGCACAGAACTCTCAGGCTGTCTCCTTACACTCCCGGCTGCCTGGAGTGCTGGTTGCCTCCTATGTCCGGGTCTGCTCCTCTGACCTGTGCAACAATGCTGGCAGCAGCAGTGTCCTGCTGGCCTCCCTTCCTAAGCCAGGTATGGCATCCTTGAGTGACCCAGATACTCCATGCTCCAGCAGGTGGCTGCAGGCGGGAGCAGAGCTGTGCCCGTGCAAACTTGTCTCTGCTCCCCAGCTGCTCCTGCCCCAGGAGGCCTGCAGTGTCCTGCCTGTGTACAGTTTCTTGGATCCTGCTCACAAAGCTCCAACTTAGTTACCTGCCCTAGTGGTGTCACTCATTGTTATGATGGTAACATTGCTGTCAACGGAGGTGAGTACTGAACGCTGAGTTCCAAAGATAAAGGGAATGAAGACTCAGACCCCTGAGTCTGAGGGAGGAGGGCTGGGGCCTGGACTCCTGGGACTTTACATGTGGTGCATTGTGTATCTCCTGACTGGGTCTTTACCCTCCAGGTGGGTTGTCCACCACACTGAGCATTCAAGGTTGCATGGCCCCAGCTTCCAAATACTTGCTGAACCACACACGGAATGTTGGGATCTTCTCTGTACGTGAGAACTTTGAAGATGATAACAAGGAGCAAAGCCGTGTATCCCCAAGTGGAGTAGCCCGGGCCACATACCTGCTCTGGGTGATGGGGATGGGGCTATTCCTAGCCCTTTGGAATGGGGGACTTTATCCTCTCTGCTAAATCCATCTCCCCATGATTCTTAACCTTTCCTGTCACCTAAACCCAACAATTGACCTCACAATCTAATGGCCTTGGACACTGAATTATTTTCCCATCCTCACTCTGTCTCCTGGTAATAACATGGTGGGTGGGGCAGGGAGCAGCTGAACTTACCCTGTAGGAGAGGGGACATGCAAGTACTTGGCCACATGCATCTTATAATAAAGACACCCTGTCCTTTCTCCTAATACTGGTATTTCTCTATGTAAGGGGAGGGAAGGATATGGGACAGGGAAGGATATGGGACAGGGAAGGATATGGGACAGGGAAGGATATGGGGGAGGAATCACCATTCAAGCACATACTTCTTTGTTCTGGTTCATATCTTTATTCCAACTTGGGTGTTAGCAGAGCCTTCAGGGTGTAGCAGACCCAAGTATTAGGGCATCAACATGGCTTAAGGGGGGAAGGAGCACTCGAGCCATTGACACTTCTTCCTTGTCAGCCATGGTCCCAGTGCTCACCCATTTGAGTAATTGGAGAAGTTGGTGATGGGATAATTGACATAAGAGGTTGAGAGAAGTTGACATCAAAAGGGGTTTCAGTTCCCCGGGGTTGTTACCATTGGGTCTTTGTTACCATCCTAGGCCTGAAAGGGTGAATAGGAGCCATTGCTGGAAAGAAAGAGGTACGGGGGAGGGTGGGCTCTCTAGCCCAGTGTTACTATAGGGATGGAACTGGGGGATTAATATTTGAACCTCACCTAGTGTCCCCCCTCTGGTCTCTAGTTAGGGCTCCCCATTGGTTGAATTCAGCTGGAAGCCATAAGGCAGGAGATCCCATTGATGCATAGATCTGCCACTCACAGTATAGAGTAGGAGAAAGAAGGGGAGGAAACAACGTGTCCATCACAGTCCACAACCTTCTCCCTCAACATCCACCCTTTTCCCTTCTCCAGATGAAAGTTGGAGTCCTCCATACTAGAAGACACACAATTCCCATGAGTCATTGTAACACTGTATGATACTGATAGTGAAGTCATCTTTCTACTGTTAGACCACCAGCACTTCATACACCATGGTGAGAGAGCGATGGGGAAGGAGATAACATAAAATAGCTGTTAAGGTCCTGAGTGTGTAGCTGGTGGCAATAAGAGCTTCCTTCTTCCACCACTCACTCCACATTCCCTTACCTCCTACCAACACCTTGTTTGAACAGTCTTTATTCATATGGGGAGTGAGTCTTGAATGGTTCTGTCTTTACTGAGTTTCTGCCCTTTTCCATGGAATCTGACCCTGGCCAAAGAAATATTCCCCCAATGTCTTGCCTGCCTTCCAGACAATCTCCTTGGCCCATCAACTCAACCTCCTTCTGGAAATCAGCTTTGTCACCCCGACTGGCAGAGCACCCCTATTTGCTCGTTGATTCAGCAGATGAGGAGCACACATGGCCTGGAAAGCTCATGGCTTCCTATTGATTAGAACTATGTGATTCTTTGACCACATCAGGCCAGGGTCACAGGGACAAGAAGCAAAATTCTTTCAGTAGGTTTTTAGATCCAATAATGGGAGGGACACTCCCTTATCCTTCCCTTATGTCTTGAACCCATGTATTTGGCCATGGAGGAAGAGGGACAGTATGCTGGCCATTAGTTTAACATGTGCAACATTTCCTGTTGGATTTCTGGCTATGATCTCTTACTTGGTGTCTTAATAAGCCATTCCAAGATTCTAATAAGCCAACTGTTGCTGCATAGTGGGGTGACTGGGAAAGAGAGTTCCAGGATGTGACTTTACCTCACCTCCTTTGCCTTAAGATACATCCTCTAGTCAGAAGTAATACTGCACGGGACACCAGAATTCTCTAAGTCCCTAAATGGCAGTGTCTGTAGAAGCACTGAGTAAAATACAGAGAGAGAAAACTGGAACCCACCAAATGTGTCCATTCCTGTGAGATAAAACACAGTCGTCTTAATGATGGTATGTCCTGTGTGATCAGCCTACCCCCAGAGGCCACAAAGTCCTGCTGTAGAATAATGCTAGGGTCTTGACCTTGGCTTCTGTCTATGCTGGACTGGGCACCAGGGACAGTCAGCCAGGTCAGCCTTGAGGAGAGTTGGCCCATTTGTCATAACCACGTATGGATTCATCCCTGCCCACATGGTCATTTGCATGCACATGGACCTATTGAGCAAGCGCTGACACCGTCCACTCAACACTAAGTTACTCCTGCTCAGTAAATGGACTTTAGTGGGTGAATGTACGCAGCACATCCCAGAGGACTATTCACATAGCTCCCTGTCCCCATTTTATATTTCTATTATTTTCAATTCCTTGATCATGTGGCTCAACCTGGATCTATGCAGGAATGGAGCTAAGGCTTTCTTTCCCTCTACTAAGTGGACCCCTCCCTCAGGGCCACTTCTGAATGGGGAGTGAAGGCAGCACCATCGGCGTCTGCCTGGTGTTGGCTCACCGTGACAATCCATGCATTACTGGTATTCACTTTCCTTACTCTGTAAGGATGTCACAGAGGATTCCCATGAGCCCATAGATGTGGTGGAGGTAGAGGCAGAAGGAGCAGGTGCCATGGAAGTTTGAGCCACGTGCAAGGTATTCACCTGTGCCTTTGGACCTGCTTGAACCTGATCCCATAATACCTTTTCCATGGACGAAGGATGCTTCTCTGCAACGTAATATCAAGATTTAATAGCACAGACAGCACTTGGGACATGGGACATGATATGCAGTTCAAGTCACCATGCCCTTCGTGTCCTATGGTCAAGCATTCAGATTCCACAGGGGATAGTTATCTGCAGAAGGAAACATGTCTTTGATCCAGAACTTTGAGGTTCGGCATTATGATTATCCCCTTTTCTCATAATGTCCTAGAAACTTTTAATAACATTGAGTTTGTTGGTCACTTGCCCTGAGGTTCAAAGCAGCTGGGTTTCCAGCCTGGACCTTCTGCAAATCATCAAAACTGGCAGTCTTATGTGTCCTCGGACAAATGTGTAAGAGGACTATATCAAAATGTGCTTTATGTCTTCCACCCCCTCCCCAAATTGTAAGGGATGTGTGTCTTTTTTCATGGCAGCAGCACCAGGAACAGCAAATTATCTCCCAGGTTGGAAGCTACATTGGGACACATCCCAGACCTATAGGAATTGCACCAGTAGAAGGAAGGAGAGGCTGAATATTTGCAGTTTATCTCCTGCCCTGTGGCTCATTTGTGTCTTGTTCACTGTGTCCAATGAAATTAACATCATGTCATGAATGAAATAAATTAGTATGATCCATAAAAAAAGCAGGGGATCAAGGTCCCTTTGGACCATGAGAGAGAATACGAGAGCTAATAAAATCACAAGGCCACAAAGTTAGGGTGAGTGCTTGTACCTGAAATATGAATGGAAATCCTTCTGATTATCTCTGCCAACAAATGCAGTAAAGTCCCACAGGTAGATCTTTAAGGAGCCACAGCCAGACCTGCTGCTGCAGCTACCATTGCTACCTTCATTTGCCACAACCTGTCATCACCCTCCTGATCCTTTTGCAGTGACCAAATAGGCATGCTAAATGCTTTACTGTTGCCATAAGTCTCAGGAATTCCCCCTGGGATGCATTATTGTTTCTAATATATTGTTTTGGCAGGGCTGATGGTGGCAGTGGATTTTTCTACCATAGTGGCTCTCACTGCATGAATCAGGAAGACTCATAGGGGATTTTCCAAGTTACGTATACAATGATACATTCTGAGACAACCTGAATCACAGAGAATGGGTTGATCTATCCCCTGGCATGGTTCATGGTGTATCCATGTTTACAAATAATTCCTTGGACCCTCCCTTTGATCAGTGTCCTACTCTCCCAGTCAAATGGCCCCAGGTCCCTCTGTGTGGGGGATGTTTCACTATTGACACCCTTCGCCTCATTTCAGGGTCCTTCTCAGACAGACTCAGCCTCTTTTCACTCACTGGAGTCTGGAGACTAAGTCTGGAGACTAAGAGGTCATTGTGGTGACTCATTGTTAGATTTCTCCACATGAGAGCAAGAAAATTTCCAACTTATCAAGTATCACCTTCATTGACAGAAAAAGTCATTTAGCTTCACCTTAGACCCCTGCCTGTGAATCCACTCTGATGGCCTTTTCACCCTGTGCATCAGGGCACCTTGTCTCTGAATGGTTAGTGTCACTGCTTGGCCACTCCAAGATCTCTTTTTTTTTTCCCCCACTGAGATCAGTGAACCCAACCCCATTACATCATTTCCCATAAGCATCTTCTGCCTCAGAGGTGAGTCACCATTTGTGGAGTCTCTGCCTCATGGCTGTATTTCCTGTGCAAAGATGCAGGTCAAGATTGCCCAGTTGCTATAGTGACGCCTGGCCTGAGAAGGCTGTGTGCAAAGGCACGGAGCTATCTCAGTCTGGACCTTGAACTCAGGCACCAGCTGCTGGAGATAGAGAATTCTGGGCATGATAAGATAACTGCAATGTCTCACAAGTGCCATGACCTGCAAGTCCATCTGCTTTGCAGAAACTTTCCCACAAATAACATTTTGATGATAAAACCTACCTAAGAAACGTGTGGTAATAGCTCTGGGTCACTGTTCCTCCATCAGAGGATGGTGTCCCACCAGGTCCCAGATTTCTCCCTGTAAGTGTTTTTGTTTCTTTCTTAATCCCCCATCTACCCTTGCTGGTTTCCAAGGTTCGGGCCATGCCTGTCACGCCAACCGCAGAGCTCTTGAGATCCCCTTCTCCATGTATCTCTTAATCCCCCGCTAGAGGCTGTGGTGAGTTGCAGATACAGGAATCTGTAGGCAGTCAGCTGTTCCATTCATTCCATCTTTTCAAGCTTGGAACTCTCTCTCTTTCCAGAATGCAAGAGAAGTCCCAGCATTGACTCCAGGTATTAATTTACTACCCTAGCAGATTAGGAATGACATTCCCAAGTGCTTGAGCCAACACCTCAAATCCCAAATCCCATGTGAAAGAATTTGGCTCTATCAAGTCTCCTTCTTCATTAGATTTGTTCTTACACTCATAGAATCCATATCTGCCAGGGTCCAGGTGGAAATCAGGCACCACACACTCATCTCAATATGGAAAGCTTATAAAGAATCATTAATTAGTAGAGGGGATTAGCTACTAAAGGGTAAAGAGAATTCAAAAGAAAAGAGGCACATTTTTTAAGAATCAGATGGCTGTGTGGTTTTTGTCTCTGTACCTTCTCTTC